TAAACTGGATGCTTTGCTAGACAGGAAGCCAGAAGGGTGTAGTGATATACACTTCAAGTTAATTTTTTGATTTTATAGTTTGCTGCGATAATGCAGAAGAATGTCACTGTCTGTAAGAAATATGAACTAGAGAAGTCAGGGAGTAGTATCACATTGGCAACTATCTCAAGTGGCTCAAGAAAATAAAAGTTATTTGTGTATCACTTTCTTGTTGCTACTGTAGCAGAGCACCACAAACTTGATGGCTTAAAACAGCGTACATTTATTCTCTTCAAGTTTTGGGGGCCAGAGTTATGAAGTTGGTTTCGCCAGACTAAAGTCAAGGTGTCATTAGGGCTGATTCTTCCTGGAGGTCCCAGGGAGAACCCACTCCTTCTTTTTTCTACAGGGCACCTATATTCCTTGGGTCATAACTTCTTCCTTGCACCACTCAAACCTCTGCCTCCAATTTTACATCTGCTACTTCCTCCTTTGTAATTAAATCTCCCTCAGTCTTGCAGTTATAGGGACATTTTTTTTTTTTTACTATATTCAGGACTCACCTGGATAATACAGGATAATTTCCCCACTTCAATATTTTTAACTTAATCACATTTGCAATGTTCCTTTTGCCACACAAGGTGGCATATAGGTTCCAGATACTAGGACTTGGATATCTCTGGGGACCTTAATTCAACCTACCACATCCCAAACACCAGGATGTAACCTCAATGAAGGCAGGAATTTAATTTTTTTATTTAAGTACAGTAAATATACAGATGGTGTGGGTATACCTTGATGATTTTTCAAATTGAACACAGTTGTGTTTGAGGATCAGAACATTTCCGGCACCAGAAGCCTCGTTTAGAAAGCAGGGGCTTGCATTTGTTTTGTTCACTATGATATCCACTGTGCTTGCAACAGAGCAAAGCACCAAACAGCCTTCAATAAACACCTGGAGAATGAGATGAATTCTGAGCTGGGAAACACAGCATGCTATGCAGACAGATTTGTGTGCACCTGGACAAGTCTCCATTTCTCGAGTCTGTTTTACCACCTGCCAAAGGAGCATCTCCTTAGCTCCCGTTTTCCAAGATGTGGTGAGAATAAGTGACGTAAAACATGCAAAGCCCTGGCACAGAAACTCGCACATAGTAGGCCTTCAGCATGTGTGAATGTGAGTTCTCTCTTCCCGTCCTATGAATGCTGAAGGAGCTCAAGAAAAGGTAAGTTGTGGTGCAGTCTGGACTAGTGCACCATGGAGGCAATGGCCTTAGATGTACAACCCTGGGGAGTAACTTACAGCAGTCTGGGCAAGGCTGGAGCTCCTTGGTGCCCTTAAAAGCTCCCCCGCTGTAGAGACTGCAGCAGCCATGTCCCTGAACCACAGAGTGGTCCCCAGACTCAGCACTGTGCCCTCCAGCTCTGCCAGGCCCTTCGCTAGATGCCCCAGGGGCTTTCCTGTCTCGAGGGGTTGATTTTCTCCTCTTGTGTGGCCCAAGGAAATTCCTCTTACACTCACAGCCCGGGATCTCCCACCTTGGACATCTGCTCACATAAAGCCAGGAACTGGACTGGTGAAGAGCAGAGAAGAGGTGATATGGTTTGAGCAAAGATGGGTGGGAAAGGGGGCAGGCACTTTGAGAAAAATGATCTCTTCCGCAAGTTCATTTATTTATTTTCAAATTTTTACTTTATATTGGAGTATAGCAAATTAACAATGTTGTGCTGGTTTCAGGGGGACAGCAAAGGGACTCAGGCATACATAATACATGTATCCACCCTCCTCCAAACTCCCCTCCCACCGAGGCTGCCACGTCACATTGAGCAGAGTTCCCTGCGCTATACAGTGATTCCTGTGGGCTTTCCGCTTTGAATATAACAGTTGCAAACTCATTTTAAGAGCAGTAGATTTGCCCCTTCATACAGCTGCAAAGGCCTCTGATTCCACTTGATTGACAAAACCATTCACCTAGGAATTTGATGTCTCAGCAGCTGACCTTTGTCTCTGTGCAGTTCTTGTTAGTAACCACACCTCATGGGTTCCCAACAGCCAGCTGACCCCAGGTTCGCTGTCACATGATCGAGGATTTCTGGTTGAAGTTTATTGTTCCTCCTTCTCCCCTCCTTCTCCCCTCTGCCTCAGCCCACTGAAGGTCACTGACCTGCCTGCATGTTGACTTGAAGACAATTGGGTGTTTCCACTGTGTCATTCAAAGAAAAGGAAGTGGATTTTTTTTTTATATGAACACATCACACCCAGTTTTCTAAATATTTACATGCAGCTGTGTCTCTGCCCTGAAGGTACATGGCCTCTTGTTCCCCATTAAAAACACATCTGTTCTGTTTGGCTGATCAGAGGGGCCCAGCCATGCCCTATTCTCTGCCCCTGAGCACTTGGAACATAGAAAGCAATTGCCCAATTTCTTGTGTGGCAGCCCCAGACAGGGCCCTTGAGGCCGGGAAAACCTTCTCTTATCTGGATGACTGCAGACATCTCCCAGCTGGGCTCCTACCACCTGGTAACTAGAGTGTCCTTTAAAAACGCACGTGAGATCCCACCGCACCCTGCTCTTGATCCTGCAGCCGCCTCTCCTCTCACCCGGAATAAGGCTCAGAGTCCCCGAGGTGGTTTATGACGCTCTGCACAACTGGCCCCCACCTTAGTCTCCGATCTCGGTGCCCATCTCTCATCCTCCTATCGGTTTCCTGTGGCTGCTGTGACAAATGACCTCAAGGGATGGCTTAAAGCAAAAAGAATTTATTCTCTTGCAGGTGGATGCTGGACGTTCAAGTTCAAGGTGTTGGCAGGGCTGTGCTCCCTTCAGAGGCTGTAGACAAGGATCCCTGCCGTCTCTTCCAGCTTCGGGTGGCTGTCTGCAGCTCTTGGCTTGTGGCTGTGTCCCTTCCTGCCTCTGTGGTCACATGACTCACTGCTTCCCGCCCCTTTATCTTCTCTTCTGTGTGTCTGTCCTATAAGGACAGACGTGATTGCATATAGGGCCCACTCAGTCCAGGATAAACTCCTCCTCTCAAGAGGCTTAAATTAATCATACCTTTTGCTATATGAAGTAATACTGGCTCGAGGATCACGACATGGACATGTCTTTTGGGGGTCCACACCCAGCTCCATTTGCACCCCCAACATTCATACAACCCCAGCTCCCTGATCCCTAGCTGCTCCTGAAACACACGAAGCATATTTCCAAGGTCCAGCCCCCTCTGATGGACTGCCTCTCCCCACCCCACCCTTAGTGACTTGCTCGGGAAGATATCCTAGAGGAGGAAATGCAACCCACTCCCCTGTTCTTGCCTGGAGAATCCCATGGACAGAGGAGCCTGGTGGGCTACCGTCCACAGGGTCACAGAGTTGGACATGACTGAGCGGCTGACCACCACCACCACTGGCCCTTTCTGCAGGACTTAGAGGCCGCCTTCACTCCTTCTAGAGCAGCACAACCTGGCTGTTCTCCACCCCTTCCTTGCCTTTATCACCACCTGACTTGAACACATTCGCATGTTTATTGCTTTATTTCCTGTCTCCCTTAACCAGCATGAATGCTCCACCAGGCAGGTTCTTCACTTTAGCAACACAGGTGAGCATTCTGGCAGGTGTGTGAGGGTCTGTAGTCTTCAAGCACTCTGGCTCTTTCTCTTTCTGCTCCTCCCTCCTCAGCATATGACTTCCTTTCTCATGACCTCATGATCCAAGATTGCTGCTCCAGGTCCAGCCACCCTGTTGGTATCCTAGGAAGAAGAAGACAGTCGGTCGTTGTTGTTTCTTAGTTGCTAAGTCATGTCCGACTCTTTGCGACCCCATGGACTGCAGCCAGGCCTCACTGTCCCTCACCATCTCCCAGAGTTTGCCCAAGTTCACGTCCATTACTTAGGTTGGGGACGCCTTCTTAGAAGTGTTATCTAAGAAGTTGACTTTGTGTCTGATAGTGAGGGATTCAGAGATTGATCCCCCTCCCCAGAATAATAAGTTCCCTCAAAGGCCAAGTCTTGGGCTGGAGGCTGATCCTGCCCACATGGGGTTTGGGTACCCTGATGAGATGAGGAGCCTCTAGCTCAGCAGGAGCACGTGAATGAAGCATGGGGCAAGGCTTGCACCCGCTCAGGGCCCAGGAGGGAGGCTGCAAGTGCCCTCAGGTGCAGACGGCCCCTGGAGTCCCAGGATGAGGCCCTGAAGCTCCTTGTGGTTGCCAGGGGATGCTACAAGGCAGCCACTCAGATCCCCATCTCCTCTAAGCACCTGGTTGGGCTGGCAAAGCCCACCTGGCCCCGTGCCCGAGGGCCCGGGTGCTGCTAAGTCCCCACCCTGAAAGGCAGGTTTGTCTTGCAGCCGACCCTCCATTCCCAACAGCTGTCATTTTCTAGGAACTTAAGCGGAACACTAGACTCATCATCACCATCATCTTATTATTCCTGTTCAGCCGCCAAGTCATGTCCGACTCTCTGCGACCCCATGATCTGCAGCACGCCAGGCCACCTGTCCCTCATCATCTCTTGGAGTTTCCCCAAGTTCATGTCCATTGAATTGGTGATGCCATCCAACCGTCTCATCCTCTCTTGCCTTCTTCTCCCCCTGCCCTCAACCTTCCCTAGCATCAGGGTCTTTAAAATGAGTTGGCTCTTTTGTATCAGGTGGCCAAAGGATTGGAGTTTCAGCTTCAGCATTAGTCCTTCCAGTGAATATTCGGGGTTGATTTCCTTTGGGGTTACCTGAGTCTAAGGACCTTGTGTAATCCTGACCACATCTGCAAGGCAGGTGCCATGTCATCACCCTCATCTTACAGGTGCAGGGCCCGTGCTGGCGCTGCCCTTGGCATTGCTGGGGCTTCCTTGGTTGGTGTTGCTGTCGGTGACGGTGCTGTTGGCTGTGTGGCTGGCGTGCTGGCAGGAAGCTGGTGCTGGCTGCCTGTGGGAACCCCACTGACACCCGGGGCCAGGGTCTCCGGGGTACTGCTGCTCGGCTCCCTGTAAGACCCCACCCGGTCCTTCTTGGCCTCCCACTGCAGGGCTGCCTGGGGAGCGGAGGAGGAGGCTCCCCCCTTGCCAGCGGGCGCTGCGGGCCTGGTACAGGGTGTCCTTCAAGGTGCGCCAGACTGCAGCTGGCCCCACCGCCCAGCCCTTTCTTCTCTCCGCTTTGTGTTCAGGCCCTTTTGATTTGGGAACAAGGCCCCTTTATGCTGCTGGCCTCGCCGGGCCGCCCCGACCCACCCACGGCTGGGGATTGCCTTTGCATCTGGCGCTAGGAGCCCCTCTGGGAGCTAGATGGCAGGAGGGCTCGGTGGTGTCACAAAACCTGGGTGACTCAGCTTTCAGTGGGGCATTGTGGCCCCGGAGCTTTGATAGTTTAAGTGGGAATCTCAACAAAGGGGAGGCCGGGGCCGCAGGGAAGGTGAGGCTCCTGAGACCGCCCTTCGTGGGGCAGCCTCCGCGGTCTCGCCCGCCAGGAGAAGGCCCCTCTCCCAGGAGGACGATTGCATTTCGCCAGGAGGACCAGCCTGTGACCCCAGCCTCTTAAGGACGACATTGAGCAGGGCTGTTGTCTCGGGGTTCAGGGTGGGGGGCGGGCAGGGAGGGTGGACGCCACTGGCTCCCTGCCTCTGCCAGCCAGCTCCTCACCTGCCCTTAGTGTTTGCTGCTGCCCATAGGGAGGTGGCAGCCAGGTGTTGCCAGGCAGGGAGGCACTTGTTAGGGCCCCCAGCCAGAGTCCAGTTGAGCCAGCCTGGAGGGGCTGGAGTTCTGGGCCCCCAGCAGCTCAAGGAGCCTGACTAGGAGGAAGGAACCCGCTGGGGGGTGTGGGTCACCAGCCTGGACACAGAGACTCCACGTCAAACAAGGCAGTTCTTGCTCCTTCACTGACCTGTAAACAGCACAGGGCCTACGTGGAAATTAACACAGATGGGACCTGAAGTCAGCTACCTAGATCCTCCACACCCCAGTTTCCTCGCCTGAAGAGTGAGGTCCCGGGGCCACTCATTTTTGCAGGTGCTGTGAGGGGTGTGACTGATACCCATCGGCACTCAGAAGCATCCACTGCACATGTGAAATACTCTTAGGTTTTAGGATGGTTTCTCTGTGCACCAGGGTTTTATTTATTTATTTATTTGGCCACAACTTGCAAGATCTTAGCTCCCCGACCAGGGACTGAACATGGGCCCACAGCAGAAAAATGCAACGTCCTAACGACTGGGCTACTAGGGAAGTCCTACTTTGTGTTTCTAAATCACCCCCGTCATTTTCTTGCAGGGTACTGTTGTTAATGTTCAGTTGCCAAGTCGACACGACCTTCCGCGATACCATGGACTGCAGCACGCCAGGCTTCCCTGTCCTTCACCATCTCCTGGAGCTTAGCCAAACTCATGGCTGTTGAGTTGATGACACCATCTAACCATCTCATCCTCTGTCATCCCCTTCTTCTCCTGCCCTCAATCTTGCCCAGCATCAGGGTCTTTTCCAGTGAGTCAGCTGTTGGCATCAGGTGGCCAAAGTACTGGAGCTGCGGCTTCAGCATCAGTCCTTCCAGTGAGTATTCAGGGTTGATTTCCTCTAGGACTGACTTGCTGGATGGTCTCACGATTAAGAACACATGAGATCAGGCCATAAGAGAAGGTTCAAGCCGTGGCAGGACCTGAAGCTACTCAGCCTGCCTCTGCTTCAGGTTCCTTCTCTGCTAAGAGGGCGTCATGATCAATCAGACCCCCACTGGGTTGTGGAAGGATGAAATGAAGCATCTTTGAGGAGGGTTTTGTCCCGAGCTGGCCCATCCAGGGCACTTGACCCACATACTGCTTCCAGGACAGTTGCTGGATGCGCTTCTCGGGTGATGTGGTTGACCTGCGACTGGCCAGAGGCAGGAGAGCCTGTGGCTGACTCTGGGGTCACACAGTAGGCTTCTGATCCTGGGGCTTCCTTTCCATGGCTGAGTGACCCTGGGCAGCTCATGTCACACTCTGAGCCTTGGTTCCCTCCTCTTCAAACCGGGAGTGCTGACACCGCCAGCTCCTCATGTGACCTTACCTGGTGCCCCGAGGGTCTCAAGACCAGGCAAGACTTTTCACTGTCAAGGGCGATGTGTGATGGAAGGAGTCCTGGGTAAACTTCCCTGGAGCTGAAAGTCCTTCTGTTAAGTCAGCAGAGCCTCTTTGAGCAGATATGTTTGCGCTCAGCTGTGTCCGACTCTTTGTGACACGTTATGGGCTGTAACCCACCAAGCTCCTGTGTCCACCTCTACTCCAGGGGATCTTCCTGACCCAGGGATCGAACCTGTGTCTCCCGCATTAGCAGGCAGATTCTTTACCACTGAGCCACCTGGAAAGCCCCTTTGAGCAAATACCTTGCTCCAAAGAAAATTATAGATTTAGGACAGATGGGAGATGATAGGAAAGAGTCTGGAGAAATTTCAGAACTTTGATCTTTCTGATGATGATAACAGCTGACGTCTGGTACTAGCTCTGTTCCAGGCCAGCTCTGAGCAGTTCATTTAACACCCGTAATTGTCTCTGGAGGGAAGGACCTCCATGATCCCCTTTCTGCCCCAAGACACTTGAGGGCTCTGGGTTGAGTGACTTGGGAGCGAGCCATGAGGGGCAGGGCTGGGCTTAGACCCCAGTAGAGGGACCCTGAGTTTCGGCTCAGCTGGGGAAGACTGTGGCACCAGGCAGTCTGTCCTGGCTGCCCACTGAAGACAGGAAGGGAGGTCTCACTGCTTCCACTCACTAGGTAGCTTGAGGGAGCACCCCGGGAGTGGGAAAACTGAGACCCCAACCCCTGGAAGTCCTGGGGTCAGGGAGCCTCTGTCTGTCCCAGGGAGCCAAGCCCCTGATGGTGGCCTGGGAGACCCTCTTGTGTCCCCGGGGGATCTGGGAAACCCTCCCTGTCAGCTCCCGTCCCCCCAAGGTGCCAAGTGGGTGCATCTCCTGGCTTCTGGCCCCCAGAGAATGCTCACTGCCAGGCTTTAGAAATCACTTCCAGGTGATTGAGAAGCCTGCCAGTGAGAGGCAGGCTCTATGACTCCTCCCCTTGGATCTGGTTGGGTGCGTGTCCACCAGGAGAATGTGGTGGGACTGATGCTGGTGGACCGCCAGGGCCGAGCAGGAAAGGGGCTTCACTGGAGGGCACGAGAATACATCCTGAGGATCCAACGCACAGCACGGGGCCACAGCTGAGAGCACGGTGCTGTAGACTGAACGCGACTCAGAGCAGATCTTAGGTGTTCTCACCCCTCACAGAAGAGGAGTTCAGTGGGTGAGACGGATGTGTTGAGATCTCCCTCTTGAAATCGTTCCACGATGTGTGTGTGTATCACGTCATCACGTTGCTTACCTTAAACATACACAATGATGCTTGTCAATTATTCCTCAATAAAGTTGAAAAGAGAAAAAGCCGGGGGGATGCTCCTGCTTCACCCTCCTGCAGGCTACTCTGGGGACATGCCCTCCAGAATGCAGCAACCACGTCAGGAGATGTTCAAGCCCCACGGCAGGCCCAGAGGAGCCCAGCTCCCGAGCCACGCCTACCAAGGAGCTCTGGATGACTCCAGGGCCCAGCCACCCGGCCGCCCCGGCTGAGGCTCCAGCAGAAACGAGTTTCCGTGTCCCAGCTGGGGTCTGACCCACAGGACCTGAAAGCGCCGTGGACAATGGGTGAGTGCCCCTCAATGCTGAGTTGTCTGTTACACAGCAATGGAAACAGGGACCCTCTCCCACTGGGAGAAGAGGCTTAGCCACCAGCCCTCTGCTGGGCCTCCCCATGGCCATCCTTGATGGCTGCAGCCTTGATGCCCAGGGCAGATTCGCCCAGGGGGAAACTGCTGGCACACATGGGGTTCCACAGATGGGCCAGAAACAAGCGAGTGTGAACCCCCTAAAGTCGTACTGTGTGTGGTGTGTGTGCAGACCCCCAGGTGTCGGGATGAGGGCGGGTCCACGGCATCCTTCAGATTCTCAGGAAGGTGCCTGGGCACATGGTGTACAAAGAATCAGCCCTCCACGCCTGATTGGCCTGTCCCTTAGCCACGCCCCTTTGCCATGTGACTTTGAAGCTCCACCCACAGGAGGTGGAGCCTATTTCCCCAGCCCCTGAATTGGCTCAGATCTATGATCTTTTCCCCCCTCATCATTAGTAAACTACTTTTTATTTTGTAGAATTGTATAATAGGAAAGTTCTAGAAAGTATTTATTCTAATGAATATTTGTAGTCCAAGATGAAGCAGCTTAAGCCCAAAGAGATTAAGTAATTTTTCCGAGTGAGTAATGAAAAAGTGGCAAGATCAGCCTAGAATGCCGTTTGTTTGGTTGCCGTGTGAGCACTCTAAACGCTGCATTTAGCCACTCTGAAAGCAACCCTCTTCACTAACAAAACACCAAGTGGCCTTAACCTGTCTTTTCTAGGCATTACAGACTCAGTAATTTTTTTTCTTTGACTTATAGTTGAGGTATACAGTGTAAATTACAGATGTATAATAGAGTGATTCACAATTTTTAAAGGTTACGCTCCTTTTTCATTTATAAAATACTGGCCGTATTCCCCTTGCTGGACTATATAACCTTATAGCTTGTTTTTTATTTACGTATTTTCAGCTGTGCTGGGTCTTCCTTGCCGCACACAGGCTTTCCGTAGTTGCAGCGGGAGGAGACTACGCTTCGCTGTGGTGCACAGGCTTCTTATTGTGACGGCCCTCTCGTTGCAAAGCGCAGGATCTCGGGGGCCCTGGTTTCAGTTGTTGTAGCACGTGGGCTCTGCAGTGTGGGCTCAGCAGTTGTGGCCCTCGGGCTTAGCTGCTCCGTGGTACGTGGGATCTTCTAGGACCAGGGATCGAACCTGTGTCCCCCACAACGGCAGGCAGAGTTTGATTCACTGGACCACCGGGGAAGTCCTCTTGTAGCTTATTTTATACCTAACACTTCATAGCTCTTAACTCCCGACCCCTGTCTTGCCCCCGCACCCCCGTTCCCTCTCCTCACTGCTGACCACTCGTTTGTTCTCTGCATCTGTGGGTCTGCTTCTTTTTTGTTATCTTTGCTGGCTTGGGGTTTTAGGTTCCACATTTTATACAAGTGATATCATGCAGTATTTACCTTCCTCTACCGACTTGTTTCACTTGGAGCAGAATGCCCATCCTGTCGCTGCTAATGGCCACATCTCATTCTTTTTTATGGGTGAGTAGTATTCCATCATTTACATAAACCACATGTTGTCTCCTTGTCATCTGTTGGTGGGCACCCAGGTTGTCTCCGTGCCATGGCTATTGTAAATAATGATGCTATAACTTGTGACAGAATGTGCCAGACGTGGTGATGGGTTGCTTCTGGAGCTGGCCTTAAGGAGCCTCCATTTCAGCATCTTGGAACATGGCCCTAAGGCTATGAGAAAGCCAGGGCTGGCTGGCAGGGGAAGAGGTGTCTTGGGGACCCCGTCCAAGACCCCAGCACCAACCAGTCAATGTGGGATGAGGTCACCTTGGGATCCTCAGCCCTGGTGGAACTGTCTGATGAATGAGGCCCCAGGAGAGGCCCAAGCAAGACCAGCAGGAGAGTCACCCAGATTGCCAACCCATGAATTGGAAGGAATAATAAATTCTGGCAAATAATACATTTATTTACTTTATTATTTGTAAGTCACTTAGTTTGGGGGGTGGTTTGTTATGCAGCAGGAGGTGACTGAGACAGCATGTGAGCCCGGCCAGGTGAAGAACCCCAGAGGCAGATTCTTTGGGAGGGTCTCCAACAAGTGCCCCATTCTGTGTGGAAGAGCCACAGGTGAACTCAGGTGAGCGCTGGGGGACCCACCAATGGGATGTCTGTCAAGCTGCTTTCCCCAGATGGCCTTTATGAGGTACTCTCATTCCTGTGCCCAAAACCACTGCTCTATCTGCTACTCTGCCTTCTACACTCTTTGGCCTGTTTTGCCCCCCAAGCCCCTTTTGAGGCAGCCAAAGCAGGTAGAAGTAATGATCACCCACCGATGGAGGGTCCTTCCTGTGGGCTGGGCACTGTACTAAGCTCTTCAGCCAAAGGGCGTTATTTAATCCTCATAGCAGCCCTACAGTGGAATTGTTATAGGATCCTTGTTTTAGGCATGAAGACTGAGGATCAGAGAGGTTAAGGAAGCTGCCTGAGGCCACACAGGTAGAAAGCACAGAGCTAGATTTGAATGCCACAGTTCTTATCCACTGCACCCCCCGGGAAATAGACACAGAGAGGTGATGACGTTGCCTCACTTGAACCCAGGCAAGACTCTCACCCAGGTTTCCTGTCTTGTCAGCCCATGGCTGCAAGCCCATGGGGAGAAGTGGGGAGCAGGCCTTCTGTATGAAGGCACTAGGGCACCACACCCACACTACAGCCCTGGGAGGCCATGGTTGTTCACATCCCCATTTTACAGGTGGGCAAAGTGAGGCTCGGTGGGGCAGAGAGGCGTACCCAGGTCTACTTGGCTGTCTGGCCCTCAATCCCCATGCAGGGATCGTCACCTCTGTCTCTTCCCTGAATCCTCCCAACACGCACAGCCCGGGTGTCTGGAGAACCAGCCTGGAACAAGTCACCCAGCTGTGCCTCCCCAGGTTGCCTGGCACTGAGTATAGGAGAAAGAAGTTGGTGTTTAACACACGCTAGCTACCAAGATGCAGAGCACAGGAAACTACACTCAACATTCCATAGTAACCTATAATGGAAAAAAAGATACATGTGACTGAACTGCTGTACCCTGCACCTGACATTTATACCACATTGTAGATCAACTGTATTTTAATTTAAAAATTAAAAGAAAGGTATACTGCGACGTTCCCATTTTCTAGCAGTCACATTTCAACAACTATTGGAGAAACAACTTCAATAATGTATGTAATGTGGCCAGATACATTCAAAATACTATCATTTCAATATGTTATCAATGTAATAAGTACTGATGAGCCATTTCCTATTCTTTTCTTTCTATTAAGTCTCTGAAATCTAGTATGTGCATTTTACATTAATGGAACATCTCAATCCACATGCACAATATTCTTTAGGGTATATTTGATCTGTGTTTAGGTTTCATAAAATCTAAGCTTGAAAAAGCAGAGTCGCACACCCAAGTTGTTCCAAACACACATAGAGGTTTTCCAACAACCAAATCAACCATCTGTTTTTGAACCTACATTTTAATTAAAAGTTGGTATAATGGAGCTTGTGTTCCTCGGTCACGCCAGCCGCATTAGAAGTGCTCAGTCATCACCCACGGCTTTGCTGTGACACAGTGAAGATATAGGCTCTCCCTTCTTTCCCAGAGCGCAAACCAAGGCCTGGAGAAACATCCAAGGCCAAGGATCAGGCTCTGCCTGAACTGGGACCAGAGTGCATTTTTGGTTTCTCGGCCTTGATGCTTGACATCATGAATACACAACTCACTCCATCAAGATCAAGGGCTTGCCTGGCTTGGGGGGTGGGGGGCGGGCAGTGTGGCATGTGGGCAGTGCTCAGACAAGACCAGACCCACCTGGGCCTGGGACAGAGGGTGGTGGGCTGATGTCCTCGGTGCCTCGCCCCCCAGGAGGGAGAATCACAGTCCCTTCTCATACACTCGTGGCGCCTGGGTGGGCGGATCTCTCCATCTGTAACATAGCAACAGTGATCATGTGACAATACATCTCCCCTCCCGCTGCTGCGTGAGGAAGGGTCTCCAAGGCGATGCCTGAGAAGGGGTTTGCCACTGTGGACAGCACATGAAAGGGTAGAGATAGAATCACGGTCCCCCCAAAGGATGCCCCCAAGTCCTGACTCCAGGAATGTGTGAAGGGGACCTTATTTAGAAGTAGGGTCTTCATGGGCTTCCCCAGCGGCTCAGACAGTAAAGAATCTGCCTGCAATGCAGGAGACCTGGGTTCAATCCCTGGATCAGGAAGATGCCCTGGAGAAGGGACTAGCAACCCACTCCAGTATTCACGCCTGGAGAATTCCATGGAAGGAGGAGCCTGGTGGGCTAGAGTCTGTGCGGTCAGACACAACTGAGTGACCAACACACACATGGAACAAAGGAGAACAGAGGTGACCAAGTTAAGATGAGGTCACGCAGGCGCAGGGTGGACCCTGATCCGATGACAGATATTCCTATAAGAAAACAGAGACACAGACACACACGGGACAGGAGACCACGTGAAGACAGGTTGGAGGGATGCGGCCACAAGCCAAGGAACGCCTGGAGCCCCCAGATGCTGGGAGAGGTGAGGAGGGACCCTTCCCTAGAGCCTTTGGAGGAATATCAGCCCTGTCCACGCCTTGACCTCAGATTTCTGGCCCCCAGAACCTTGAGAGAATAAATTTCTCTTATTCAAAGCCGCGCAGTTTGTGGTGCTTCGTTAGAGCGGTCCTGGAAAACCAAGACAAAAAGCTGTTATTACGATCCCCCATCCCAGACGGTGCCCGAGACTGCAGTCCTCCCACCCAGGAGCCCAAGTCCAGCGGGGCTGACCCAGGGCGCCTGTGGTTTCCCGAACCAAAGCTGGAATGTCTGACTTGGGGCCGTGGACACCGCTTGGCTGGGCTGTGGGGTTCTTGGCCAGAGTCTGGACCGGCCTGGGGAGGGGATGCGCCCCGCCTGCCTGCCCCCCAGGTGCAGCGCTCACAGTGAGAGCCGCCTCTGTGCGCCCCCCCAACCCCGCCCAAACTCCAATTAGCCATCATTTCAGGGATTTAAGCAAAGTTCTCCCAGACAAGGCCCGCCTGGCCCCTCGGGAGCCTTTTCTCTTCCTGGCTTTGAAGATGAATGATTTTTAAAGACCACAGTGTCCAGACAATTGGGAGTGGGGGGTGGGCAGAGGTGGTTGGAGTCCAGGATACTATAAAAAGGGAGTGTGCTGGGCTCCACCAATCACGACAGGATGCCAGGAAAAGGCTGTGGGTGAGGAGCAGCCAGCAGTGAAGCTTCGAGAGGGGAGGGCAGGACAGGAGCCAGGGAGCGGGGCCTGAGTTCAAATTCTGTACCTGTCACTCCACACCCTGAGCCGGTCTGCACCTCTAAATAGGGCGAGGGGGTGTTAGATCCATCACTGTGCAGCTCAGGCCGGTGCAGCCCTCGTTGCTAAATAAAGAGCCAACCCCTCGGGGTCCCTGGGCCGCTGTGTGACCTTCGGAAGTCTCTGGCCCTCTCTGAGCCTCTGGCTTCAACAGTCAGTAAGGAGGGTGGAAGTGGTGAAAAGAGAAAACTGCTGAGATGGGAGGGGAGCAGGGTCTGGGAGGGCCGCCTGGCATCGTGGAGGGGCAGCCTTCGGGGGAGCCGGGCCCCCTGGGGGAGACCTCCCTGTGCCTACCAGCTTCCCCTCTCTCTCCAGCCCAACCCAGAGGTCTGGGTCTGATGCATCGCTGGCTTGGGGCTGAGGCTCAGGAACTCCAGCAGAGCGAAGGCTGGTGTCGCTGAAATCCCGTAAATTCTCAGTAAAGTCTCTTCCTCCTCTTTCAAGTTTTCTTCATCCAGTTGGCTTCTGCCCCTCCCTGACCACCCCCACACCCCCCTGCCCCCACAGCTCGCTCCCCTTTATAAAGCGACAGCAGGTGACCACTTGTGAGCCTGAGACTTGGTGAAAACTTAATAATACAGCTTTCCTGTGGTTACTTTTATAGTTACATTGTAATGTAGTTACGTTGTAATCAGGGCACACAATATTGTTCTCTCTTCTTGATAAGGGTGTGAATTTTCCTTGGAAATAAATGTAAGTAAGAAAAAACAAAAAGATTCCATTTGCTCTTGTTAGATGTTTTTGATGGCGAGATGTTTGGTGCACGTCTCTCAGCTGCTGGGAGCTCCACGTCCCAGGACCTGGAGGTCCAGTGATGACCTGGGAGATGGCATGACTCCAGAAATGGCCCTGAGAGAAAGCCACCTCCAGGGACCCCGGGCGGGTCACCTAGCTTCTCTTTGTATCGATTCCTCCCTGCAAATCACAGGTGACAAGAAGGCAGCCCTCAGGCTGCATCAAGGACTCGGGGGCGCCAGCTGCAGACGGTGCCCTAGTGCTCGATGCATGCAGGGGGTCATTGTCACAGACACCCTAGGAACTTGGTGTCTCCCTGGTCCAGGACCCTCTGGGGGTCCCTGAAAACAGGCTTGGGGGAGACGCCAGCGTGGAGAGGAGGTGGGGAGCCCCGAGCTTCCGGCCTCACACACACATTTCTGCACGTGGGGTCTGGTTACATCCGGATGTCCCAGCAGCCCAGAGAAAGGCCATTTTTCTTTCAGGTGATGGATCCCGAGATCAAAGCCCCAAGGAGACGGGACTCCAGTCCCTGCGTCCTGAGCCTGGGATAATGGTTCCCCTCCTCCCGCTCCAGGCACCTGAATGAGCCTGGAGAATCCAAAAGGAATTTTGAAGTGACACTTTAAAGAGAGCCACTCATGGGGAAACGAGCTATTTTTGTTGGAAAGACAAAGGGGTGGAAATCAGGAAACAAGGTCCGTCCTCGCCCATTCCTCCACGCTAATCACTCTTGTGCCCTGTGTTCTGTGCCTGTCCCCAGCACGGCCCGGCCCCAGGTTCCGTGTGTCTATCACGTTGTTCGTATAAAAGGATGCCTGTGTTTTTTTCTCCTATTTGCAAACAAAAGACATGTACAATGTTGAGTGATGCTTTCTCGCTTAATATTTTATCACGGGCTTTCCCCCACCCAACGCATGATCCCCGTAATTATTCTTCGAGGTGTCCAGCATTGGGCAGCAGGGCCTGGTGCTTCGGACAAAGTCCAGAGCCTGTGTTCCTGCCTATGAATCCTGCCTCTGCATCTTGGTCACTGAGCACCTACAGGCAAGTTGCTTGACCTCTCTGTATTCAGCCCCTACTCACTAGGTTTGCTATGAGGGTTAAGGGAGTTAATATTCATAAATGCTTTGAAGGGCACGTTGTCTACCACAAGCACTGTATCAGCATCTGGTAAGCAGATTTTTCGGGTTTTTCCAGGCTCTGGGGGTGCCCACCCCTGCTGGCTACAAATCACATCCAGAAGAATGGCATCCTCACGTGGCCTTCTCTTTTTCGTTGAGAGTTACTAAGCGGGGTGCAGTGTGTGACTTTGGGTCCTGGACTCAGACCTCAGCTCATCCACTCACCCTTGTGTGTGCTTGAGCAAGCTGGTTATGTCCTGTGCCTCAGTTTCCTCATCTGAGAAATGGAACCAGTAGCCTCTGCTATGCTGTTGCATAGAACTCAGGTGCCATGCCAAGAGGGCATGGCTGTGAGAGGGAAGACATGCCCAAACGCAGAACATCTTTGGAGAAGATGAAATGGGAGCGATTTGGGCTGCAGGAGGGACCTGTGAGACTGGCTGAGTGGTTAGTGAGGGTCCAAAGCTAGCCAGCCTCTGTTTGAACAAACACTCCCAAGGCTGGGGACGGCTGCTTCCTGACCTCCTCAGGCTTGTTAGGAGGGTGGGGCAGGGCCAGCTCATATCCAAAAGGACTGAAGGTATTGCTGTCACTTGCCTTTGTCACTCACTTCCTTGGTGGTAAGTGTCTACCGGCTCTCCCCCCACTCCTGCCTCCACCAGGAAAGCTAAGTGTCCCATTCATCCTGTAGCCTCACCTCACGGCCTGGGCAGAAGGCAGTAGCTCAAAGTTTTGAATGGATGAATGAATGAATGAGATTATGAATGAGTGACAAAATGCTAATAGAAGAGTTTTCAGACTGTATTTTGGGCTTCCCTGGTGGTTCCGATGGTAAAGAATCTCCCTGCAATGCAGGAGACCTGGGTTCAATCCCTGGATCAGGAAGATCTCCTGGAGAAGGGAATAGCAAGCCACTCCAGTATTCTTGCCTAGAGACCTCCATGGACAGAGGTGCCTGGCGAACTATAATCCGTGGGGTCACAAAGAGGCAGACACAACTGAGCGACTAATACTTTGGTCTCATGGATGGTCTAACACAGCAATTTCTATAGCTGGTGGATGTTGGATTTCCCTGGAGAATTTTGTTTAGAAGCGATTGAAACCTGGGATGTGTGTGCATGCTCAATCGCTCAGTCGTATCTGACTCTCTGTGACCCCATGGACCATAGCCCACCAGGGTCCTCTGCCCACATGATTCTCTGGGCAAGAATACTGGAGTGGGTAGCCATTCTTTTCTCCAGGGAATCTTCCTGACCCAGGGACCAAACCTGGGTCTCCTGCATTTGTAGGCAGATTCTTTACCACTGAGTCACCTAGGAAGACCAAAGTTCTGGTCTTGTCCTGATTTGAACCCAGGGCCTCTCACACCCAAAGTGAGGATCAGATCCCTGGACCAGTGAGTCACTTGGAAGCCTGGGATGCTTATGGTACAACGGCCAGGTCTCCTTAGGGCTCATGACACATGCCAATCAGCTATCAGGGGTCTCCTGGTGGTGTATGTCCTCCAGATGGGTGTCAGTGGCCTCGGGGTCCAATATGTCTGATTTCAGTCAGTCACAGATGAGCCCCAAGTGGTTTGAACAAACACTCCCAAGGCCACCATGACGGGTGGGACCCAGCAGAGTCATCCCAGTAGAAGATGTGCAGAAACACAGATGCTGACCAGCCCTTGACAAACTTCTTTTGGGAAGGAATTAAGGCCCAGTGTTTTGAGAACATTTTTACAAAAACTTTGTGGTGAGAAAGCAGGTTCCTTCCTTGGGAATTTCCCTAAATGGTCTTAGCTATTTAGGGGCCCCTGGGGGCAGGTTCCTGGAGCTGGCACAACCTCTGGCTTCTGGGACTTTCCTATCGTTTCTCCCAGGGCCAGCGGTGGGGTCACATCCCAGGCCAGAGACGGCCTGCTGGAGGTCCAGGCCCCTGCCTGCATCCACCAGTGGCTTGAAATCTGAAAGCAAAAATCAAAGAAAGGTGTCAGTGTGCAGAAGCTGGTCTAGTTTCAAGTCATAGTCAACCCTTCCAGGGGGCATTCTGAAGAATGTTCTTCTCTTTTTTCTCCTGATCTGCCAGGCGTCCCCCACAGAGGCATCGGGGCGCCTCGGGGGCTGGCAAGGGCTGTGCAGCGCTCTCGGCTGCTGCCTCTAAGCGCCGGGAGGGAGGCGCGGCTCGAGAAGCCCATGGCCCAGGCTCTCGGCATGAAAGTGCCCTGGCAAGGTGAAGCGCATGCATGTGTGCACACGTGTGCGTGCGTGAATGAGGAGGGCTAAGAGAGGGAGGAGGGATATCTAGTGATGTAGATGGTTTCCCCAGGCATGACCTTTGGCCCCTGGTTGGTTCTGCTCTGGGGAAAGGCAGACTTTGCAGAGTCCCAGCCTCAGCAGGAGCAGGTGCTGTCTGGGGGTTGGGGAGACAGGAGTGATGGAGAAGGCTCTGGGCTCTCCCAGGGGCTGTGGGTGAGGGTGGAGGTCATGGTATCATCTCATAGTGGATCTGAGTCCCGAGGAGTGGTTTGTGGGCTCCCCCGGTTATGCACTGGCTGAAGGAGGGGCTACCAGCGCTGAGCAGGGGAGAGAGGGTGGGAGGGAAGGAGGGTGGGGAAGGGGCAGGTGCTGGCCGGGTGCCTCCCTCATGGCGCTGCCCCCACCCTTGACAGCCTCATGAGGACGCCTCTGCTGTCGCTGTGCCCATTTTTCAGATGTGGAGACTGAGGCCTTGTTACCTGACTGCCCAACTCCTGGATTTGGGAAGAGGAGGTGGTGGGGGACACAGGCAGGGGAAGAGGCTCCCCCATCTGGGAGAACAGCCTGGGCTCCTGGCTCGTGCTGTATCGAGGAACGAGCTGGGAAGAAGTTTCTGGACAAATGCTGGCTCTGCCACATGCACACGATGATGGCAGAGCCTAGGCCTGTGAAGCCTGCGTAAAACAGTCTGCGTCCAGCACACTCCTGGCACAGCACGCGGAGTCTAACTGAGCTCACTGTTAGGACGAGCACTGCTCCTTCCTTTGGGATTCAGCCAGCTTGGTCTGAACGGGCAGCCCCAGGGAGCCTTGTCAAGGGACCTAACCACCGCAGAGTCTTAACCACTGAACCCCCAAGGACATCCCAACAAAGCGTTTGTCTTCTGCCTTTACCAGGAGCTCCTCTTTTAGGAGACCATGCCCCCCAAATTCTCATTAGCCCCACTCTCGAAAAGGTCTAGGACTCTGGCAGCATCTTTTCTAGTCCAGATGTGATTGGGCCAATGCCCCTGCCCCATGCCACAGCCTGGCACCCTGGAGACGGTTGATAGGGTCCTGTGGGTCGGGAGGGTCAGGTAAGAGGGGTGCAGGGCATGGGGGGGGCAGTGGCTGCCAGCTTGCAGGCCGGTGAGATCAAAAACTGCGGGGACCTCGGACCTCTCTGAGGGTCCTGTGGCTAAGATTCTGTGCTCCCACCGCAGAGGGCCTGGGTTCGATGCCTGGTCAGGGAACGAGATCCCACACCCTGCAACTGTGGGTTTGCACGCTGTAACTAAGGCCTGTGCAGTCAGATAAATAAATAAATATTAAAAAAACAAAACAAAATGCTGCAAGGACTAAAGGAGCCGAGGTGACCGCCCTGCCTTGGCTGGAGCAGTGGAGCCCGGCCAGCCTCGGGCCCACACCCCAGAGCAGCCCGCACCCCAGGAACAAGTGCCCGTGGAGGGCAAAGGTCGGGGGTGCGGCTTGCCTTCTGCCGCCTGGTCTGCACTTGGAGCAGGAGCACTGAAGAGCAGGCTGAGGGCCTCCAGGACGGTGGGCCCGGAGCCGCGGGGAAGGCTCCTTTGTCAGGGCGGCCCGGGATGAAAGTGGGCATTGTGGCCCCGAGACAGTCTTCACCTTTGTGTGCCCGTCCCCAGGAGAGACACCGCCCCTCCAAGCCACCCAGTAACGAGGCTGGCCCGGGGTGGCGAGCCCACACTGTCCCCGGCCTAATGACGGCCTGAGAATCCAGCCCATTGTCCTGTAGTCTGCGGCTCAAGGGATTTAAAATTCAAGAAAGAAAAATGTGGAGGCCAATTAGCTACATTGTGCTGGCCTCGAGAAGGCTGCGGCCATGTCTACGGGGTCCCGAGGACCCTCTTGAGTCAAGTGGAGGCTTTGCTTAAGCACCGCTGTCCGCCAGTCCCCGGGGTGAACTCACTTTCATCTCCTAGCATCAGGGTTTTGTGTATCAATTGGGCGAGCAGGTCTAGGGCCTGGGGTCTCCAGGAAGCCCTGCCCGTGTCTCCACCCTAGTTTATTACTTACGAGGTGGGGGCAGGAAGGTCGCTCTTTGTGCCGAGATGGCCACCCAAACTGATCTGCAAGGGGGTCTGGTTTCTGCTCAGTTCTGGTTGACGAGGGAAGAGAAGGCGGGCTGTGGAGTCTGAATCCAGCGCCTCTGTCCACCTGGGCGGGGCTCCTGCTTCCTGGGCTCCCACACAGGTGGAGTCTTCCCTCCTGGGAGGAGCTGCTGTCAGAGGAAACTGTGGGTGCACAGGGCAGGACCCCGCTGCCCCCCACCCGCCTCCTTCCTCTGCAGACATTAGTCCTGAGCCCGCCAGGAGCCCTCTGCTCCGGCCAACGGGCCTCAGCTCAGTGAGCCTCGAGCAAGGACCAACCCCTTTATGAATCACCAAAGAATACCTGCGCGCGGTGAAAATCAAAGGAACAGTGAGATCAGCACCCAAGGGTGAATGTGAACCACCAGTTCCCTCTCAGCCCTTGCTCACAGCCTCCTGCCCAGAGGCAGCTAACCACGCCTACAGTTTCCTGTATCTTTCAAAAACATCCTGCGTATCTGTGAGCACATGCAAATACGAGCACCAGCGTTGACCACAGGGCTGGAGCCCAAGTGCCCCAGACACTGCCCTGAGCACATTGTCTGTGCTAACTTTGCTCAGCCTCACGGCTGTCTGTTGTTCAGTCGCTAAGTTGTGTCCGACTCTTTGCAACCCCATGGACTGCAGCACACCAGGCTGCCCTGTCCTTCACTATCTCCCAGAGTTTGCCCAAACTCATGTCTGTTGAGTCAGTGACGCCATCTGGCCATCTCATCCTCTGTTGTCCCTTCTCCTCCTGCCCTCAGTCTTTCCCATCATCAGGGTCTTTTCCAATGAGTTGACTCTTTGCATCAGGTGACCAAAGGATTGGAGCTTCAGCTTTAGCATCAGTCCTTCCAACAAACATTCAGGGTTGATTTCCTTTAAGATTGATTGGTTTGATCTCTGTGCTGTCCAAATGACCCTCAAGAGTCTTCTCCAGCACCACAGTTTGAAATCATCACTTCTTTGGCACTCAGCCCCATTTTGGTCCAACTCTCATATCTGTTCACGACTACTAGAAAAACCATAACTTTGACTATACAGAACTTTGTCGGCAAAGTGATGTCTCTGTTTTTTAATACACTGACAATAATCATTCCACTTTGCAGATGAGGAAACTGAGGCCTGGAGAGGTTCGTCTGCCTAAGCTCACACAGGTAGCAAGTGGCAGAATCTGGACTTGAATCCAGCAAGTCACAAATGGGATTGCATTCGCCACGCTGTAGTGTTGCTGTCCTTCCATCCTAGGAGTATTCTGCCGCAGTGAGGCCTGCATGGCATGGTCTCCACGTGTGGGCGCTTTGCATTGTTTCTGGGTTGATATCCTGGTGCATGAAACCAGGGGACGTTCCTGGGCATATTTCTTTTCAGACTTGGTGAGACCAAGGGCGCTTGTGGGATTCCTAGTGGAAGGGGCATCACAGTGGCTGTTGTCACAGGTCCTGCCTGGTATCCGTCGTGGAGCTGGCCGTGGCTTGCACGCCCGGCAGTTCTGTTGGACACACCTGAGCGCAACTCTCATCTTTTCAGCTACCCTTGCTGTGTTGTCTGCTGGACAGACCCCTCCCTGTTTGAAAACTCCCTCAAAATCGGCTTCACGCCCTGCCAAGCAGTTCTTACAACAGGTCATTTTCTAGTCAGTAAATTATCTGGAGTTTTGCCAAACCCAACGTTCTAGAAGTCACCCTCTATCCCTATTGGAAATAGTGGCTCAAATCGGTCGCCCACCCTGATGGTAGCGAGATGAGATGAGGCTGTATTGTCCCCTACCTCCCGCCCTAAATGCCAGGATCGTCAGGACCCATAGTTCCAACTTCTGCATTTGTTCACTCAAATGGCCAAAACTGTCAGATCAGGGGATGCTGTGGGAATTTCATTCATTCATTCATCTATGGGGGGATTGATTCAGGCCAAGCCCCGCGGGGAGACATTGAGGAAGCAGAGAACAGCAGACTAGTCCTGGCTTCCTTACAACCTCCCAGGGCCCTGGGTGCGATGGACACAGGGAGCCGGGGGGACGGACTCCTGACCCAGCCAGGGAGTGCGGGGAGGAGGGATGCAGACACACCTCCTGATGCGGGCCTCTGTGCCAGATCACCTAGAGCAGGGAGAATCCAGACAGGCAGAGCGGGGACTGGGTGCTGCAGGTGGCGGGGACAGCCAGCGCAGAGGCTCCGAGGGGCAGCAGAGCCTGTGCTCCCAGGGGCTGCGGGAGCAGTGACTGCTCAAGGCCGATGGGCAGGGGCCAGCCCGTGTCTGAGCTCACGTTCTTCACCCTGAAGGTGAGGGGTTACAGCTACGCCTGTGGGCACAGCGGGCCTGCAGGCAACATTGGCAGCTGGCAAGGATGGAGGCGGGGGCTGGGGGGGCCTGGGAGCCTGTCTTGCTCTGTGGAGGGCAGCCCATCAGTTAGGGGATGGGGACGCGAGTGTCCCACCTTGCCTTTAGAAGCTGGGAAATGAGAGATGTTTCCTGTTAACAACAGTAACCATGAGCCCGGCAGGCTCCCTCCTGGCCTCGATCCCTCACTGAGCCTCTTCTGCACCAGCCGTCCTGGTGAGACCCCGAGAGGGACCATGAGTCAGAGCCCACCCGTCCTTGATGTCACCTGTCAGCCTGCCTGTCCCCCGGCGGCCTCCTGGGGGGACCCAGCGAGGGCTCAGAACACAGTCTCTTCTCTCTGCGGACTCAGGTCAGGCAGCAGTGCCCAGGGGTCTTGGGGGAGGTGATGGTGCCAACAAGTAGGACACCAGACCCTGGGGGCGGGGGCCAGGGCACCCCTCCCTGCCAGCGCCTCGAGAGCACTCTTCATGCCCATCCTCCACCCGCCAGGGTCCCACACCTCCCGGTCGCCGCCTCAATCATCCTGGCCGCAGGACACGGGATGGCAGGGCACAGAGACAGACAAGGCCTGCCCACCCTCCGAGACGGTAGGCCTGAGCAGGAAGCAGTGGGAAACTGACCTCGGGGGCCTTGGAATCAGGATGGCACGCGGTGAGAGGAGAGACTCACTGTGCCTGGGGAGCTGGGAGCTGCCTGCAGGAACAGCAGAAGTTTCTAGAAGGAAAAGGCTAATGGGTACCCAGTGGGGGAAGGACCAGCGTGTGTAAAGACCTGGATGGGGTGGGGAGCAGAAGTAACATGGGCATGGGTTTGCTTCCATAGCTCTTACCAGGCTCCGCCAGACCCTGATAGAGGAGCGTGTGAATCTCAGCCCAAGCCCCGACTGCATCTCCCCACCCCAATCCACAGGCCTGGGGGCACACCTCATTGTTAGCACTTGCCATAGTCTGAATTGCACCTCCCTAAATTCATATGTTCAAGTTGTTAACCCCTAATTGCTCAGAACATGAATGTATTTGGAGATACGATCTTTAAAGAGGTAATTAAGGTAAAATGCGGTCACTAGAGTGGACTTTAATCCCACAGGACTGGGGTCCTGATAAGAAGAGGCGGTCAGGACACAGACACACTCAGAGGGACGACCCTGTGAGAACACGGGGAGGAGACAGCTGTCTGCATGCCCAGGAGAGGGGCCTCCGGAGGACCAGCCCCACCCACATCTGGGTCTGGGAGTCCAGCCTGCAGGACTGGAGACAGGCAATGTCAGTTGTTTGAGTTGCCCAGACTGTGGGACTTTGTGATGGTGGCCTGAGCTGTGAGGTCATCTTTCAAAACGTGCTTCAGAAGCACCAGCTCTTGATGGGGGTCATGGTCCCCGTGGGTGAGTTGATGGCCTGCAGTGGGTGTGATGTGGTTCTCCCTCACTGAGTCCTCACACCCAGCACATGCAGGAGGAAGGACAGTCTTTCTTGTCACAGAGGGGGAGACTGAGGCACGCAGAGGTCTGGCCAGGCCGCCGTCTCTGGAGGCTCCTGGCAGCTCCAACTGCTCTGCGCTTGGCCCCACACTGGGCACTGAGGGAGGCCAGGGGCCGGGTCTGCCCTCCGTCTGGAGGGGAAGGAGTAGGGGCAGGTCATGGGGTGTGTCTCCCCTATCCCCCCTCAATCCCGAAAGACTTCCTCTTCCTCCTCCTTTCAGGCTCAGCTTGGAGCTTCATAATAGCCAGGAAACAAGCTGAAGGTCCATCAACAGATGATTAGATGAACGAAGCGTGGTCCACCCATACGAGGGAATATTACTCGGCCCTGAAAATGAACAAAGCACTGATGCTCACTACCACGTAGATGAACATTGAAACATTATCCCAAGTGAAAGAAAGCAGACACAGGGAGGCGGATACAGCATGACTCCATTCACATGAAATGTCCAGGATAGGGAAATCCATGGAAACGTAAAGTGGATCTGTGTTGCCTGGGGCTGAGTGGGGGAGGGAGGAAGAGGTGAATGACAGCTAAAGGTTTGAGGTTTCTTCTGAGACCATGAGAAGATTCTAAAATCAACTGTGGTGATGACTGCACAACAGCAGGGTATCACAGACTACGGAACCGTACAATTTAAAAGGGTGAATTCTAGGATATGTGGATTCCATCTCACTGAAGCTCTTTAAAATTAAAAATAAATGGATAATTTAAAACACTTGGTTTGGATGGTGGTAGTATTCCTGAGGCCCCCAGACTTCAGGTCACCCTCCTGGGTCCGTCCTTCCCCTCCCTGGTGAGATGCCTGGCCCAGGACCCCGCACTGGGGCTGACCCACCCCGAGACCCTGCTGGCCTATAGGAGAGTGCCCCCCACCCCGTGCCCAGCAGCCCACACTCTCCTTGCCCACAAGCGATGTTCAGGTCCCCCGTGGGTGTCAGTGGTCCCACCACCCCTGCAGCCCAGGGATCCCAGGATATTTGGTGAGAAGGGTGGCCCTCAGCTGAGTGCATCCAGGAAGACCCTCGAGAGGGAGCAGAGCCCCCCAGTGGGTGGGCTCTCACCTGGCACGGGGACCAGATTCTACCCTTAGAAGTGAGGTGGTCTTGGCCGGGGAAGGCAGTCAACTGGTCTACCCAGAGGCGGCGTCTATTGGCAAAAACTGGCCCCGGCTGGGCTTAGAGAGTCTGCCCTCAAGGACTATCCCTGTTGCTCCTGATCTTCTGACTTAGCTGGAAGCAAAGTTGGGGCCAGAGAATAAAGACTCCTTTGCTCAGCCCTGGACCCTCGGCCTATTTGGGGAGTTGAAGGGCCAGATGGAGGCACCAGACCCTTTGCTTCACTTCCCAGCTAAAGATTCGAGGTTTCTTTTGAGATGATGAGAAGGTTCTTGACTTCAGCCAGTCTTTGCCTGTCTCCAAGCCTCCATTTCTCATCTCTAAGGCGGGGCTGAGCAGGGCTACCCTGGCTCTGAGCTGGCCCACTGTGGGCCAGGCCTCTCTCCCGCTGCTCTTGGGGACAGGGGGTAATTAGAGCAAGTCTGGGGCCTGAAGCCAGCACCACATCTGATAGTCACCCCGGTGGGCAGGCTGGGACCACATCACAGAACACTGTTCTCCATCCCCCCTCCCTGGCTCCCTCTCCAGTGGAAGCGGCTGGAGGTGTGAGGCCTGGACCTAAGTGAGGTCAGGGTGGTCACCCAGATACCAGATAGGATTGGGAGGGGGATCTGGGGGTGAGGACACCCACAGCAGAAGTCCCAGAGCTGGTGGTAGAGGCCGGCTGGGGCCAGGCCTGGGGGTGTCCAGGCTGGGGTTGGAGGAGATCAATTAGTCAAATGGCAGCAGTGACCATTTGGTAGCAATTAACAGGCTCGCTATTACCGAATTACACACCCCCCACCTGGTTCCGTATTGAGGGGGAGGTCGCCGCGGGGTGGGTTGTGTGGGTGCCCCGACCTGGCCCAGCACGCCTCTGTGCCTGCCAAGAAGCTTGCAGGAAATCGGGCACCCCTCCTTGGCTATGCCCTGGCATCCGAGGGCCTTGCAGCCCAGCAACATTCAGAGCTAAGCCCAGATCTGCGAGAGCCTTGGGGACAGGAAAGACGGGGATCAGGGAGACTTTGATGACCAGAAGCCTCAGTGGGTAGGAAAGCAAAGGTCGGGGCAGAGAGGGAGAGGCTGCGGGCGGTGGGCTGGGGTGCAGGATGGTCGGTGAGGCCCCCAAACACCAGCACAGGAAGGGGCTGTCCCAGAGCCTGGTGTGGGCAAGATGGCAATTTTGGCTTCTGACAGTCCTTCTGACTTCAGCTCAGAGGTTACTGCCGGGGCCAGGGAGCTTAGCTGCCTGAGAGAAGTCCCCCTAACAAGAATGCCCACGGGGAGTCAGGTCTGCTGCCAGGAACCTGGGGCGTGTGGGCCTGCTGTCCTGGCCTAACTGTTCACAGCACCCAGTTTGTGTAACAAACTGTGGTCTCTTAGTGATAAGGTCGGCCTCTGCACTGATACTGGGGTGGGACCTTTGCAAAGGTACTTTCAATGAGTTTCTCTCACTATATTTGAGGCGTTTTCCTAAAGGAAATTAACCCTGAAGATTCACTGAAAGGACTGATGCTGAAGCTGAAGCTCCAATACTTTGGCCACCTCATACAAAGAGCAGACTCATTGGAAAAGCCCCTGAAGCTGGGAAGGATTGAGCGCAAGAGGAGAAAGGGGCAACAACAGATGAGATGGTTGGATGGCATCACCGACTCAATAGACACGAGTTTGAGCAAGCTCCAGGAGACAGTGAAGAACAGGGCAGCCTGGTGTGCAGCAGTCCATGGGGTTGCAAAGAATTGGACATGACTTAGCCACTGAACAACAAAAACATACACAAGAAGCCAGCATCTCAGAGGGGTGGTGCTACACGGCCAAGGTGACAGGACTAGGAAGCAGCTGAGCTATTCATTCATTCATCCATGGAGTAGGTTCTGAGGGGCTACTCTGTGCCCGGCACAGTCCAGAAGCTGCAGGTACAGCAATGAACAAAACCAGCAGAACCTCCTGACCTCTCAGCACTCTTGGACCCCTGTTCTGTGGCAGGGATCCCCACCACTAGCAGTTCTAGGGTGCAGGCAGACTGGGATGGGTGCAGGGCACCCACAACCCTCACCATGTCTCTCCTGAGTTCTCGTTGGAAGTTCAAGTGACCAGTAACCCCAGGCCAGCTCCGTGGGTGAAGCCCCAATGGACTGTGCTCAGCTCCATCCTCAGGGGCTGCCTGACAGTGGTCCTCTGTCCCGTGTAAAGCTGGCTCTATCATCACGGGACTCTAGCAATCGGTGGCCTGTTCTTTCAACAGTTCAGGGGCTCTGACTAGACAGACTCTAGCCAGAAGCCACTTCTCTTGGGACTGGGGTACTGAGTGATGCCCCAGTGCTGGCCCAGGGCCACTTAGGCACTGCGGGTGCTGGGGGGGGTGGCTCACTGAGAACATGCTGCCCTGCTTGTGTTAGGTCAGGGTGCTGAGCTGTATCCCAATGGGATGTACTAGCTCCTGCAGCTCAAGAGAGCCCCTCGTGCCCCCCACACACCCCTTTCCCCAGGGAAGGACCAAGGTTCCAAATTCCGAGGCAGGTAGAAGGGACGGGGGACGCCAGCCCGCTCGGCTGATCCCCAAGCCCCTGAACTTGGAGCGTAGACTATTGGACCCTACAGGGAGCCCTCATGCCTGCCAGGTACCCTTGCTTGAGCCTGGGTGTCAGTATCAGATGCTGGGCAGGGGGCTGCAGGAGCACATAGTGGGTGGGTGGGTGGGTGGGTAGGGGAGCAAGAGAGGGGGTGAGGATGTGGCTTTTCCTAGCACTCCATCCTCAGCCCCTCTTCACTGGGATCCCGAGGGGAGGGGCCCCCTCCAGGTGCAGGGGCATCTACATGGCTGCTCCCAACCCACCTGGCGGGGATGCCCACCCACCTTTGCCAGTTTCCGCTCATCTCCCTTCTCGGTGGCTAGCAGGCTCCCCACGCTTTTCTCAAGGCGTCTGTCCCCAGCTCTCTGGGCCCCCATCTCTGTCTCTCGGTCTCTCTCTTTTCTGTCCTGTTCTCTCCTGTTCTCTGAGCTGTGTCTGTCTCTCTTGCTCTCCAGGGCTGTCTGTCTCTGTGCCCCTTTCTCTGGCTCTACCGTCGTCCTCCTACAGCCCCGACCCCCTCTCTGGCGCGCTCCTGAGACTGGCCGCTCCAAACGCCGACCTCATCCTTCCCGCCATGTGCCGGGTGTTTGGGATGGCGTGAGGGGATAAAGCACCTTCAAGCCTCGGACCGCCGAGGGCAGCGTCCTGGCTCCAATGGGCAGCCCTGGGCGCAGTCAGAACCTCGGGGTCCCCACGCGCGCCCGCGCCCGCGCTTAGGGCCCGCCCCTCCGCGGTGCTCCGCGGGCCCCCTTCATTATGCGCCGCCTTTAATGGGCGTTTGTCAGCGCGACTGCCCCGCAAGTTGTATTCGCGGACATCAGTCATCGGCGGCGTTCCCATTGTGCCAGGGGATTGACGGAGGGCGGGAGGGGGTGACAGGGCCTGGGGCGGCCGCCTCGAGGCCTCGGTCTATAATTTTCGGAGGCATAATTGGTCTGGGGGAGGGGCGGGGGAGGGGGCGGGGAAGGGACCTTTCAGAACCGGGAGGGCGCACGGGCTCGGGGCGCGCGGCGGAGCAGAGCCACGGCTCGACGGCAGCACGCGGGGGGCGAGCGAGCGCGGGGGGCGCCCGACCCGGACGCCGCGCCCTGCCCCGGCTCTCCACCCCGCCCGGCCTCCCGCCCCTCGCGCGCCTCCTGCGCCTCCGCCTGGGGACCGCATCGGCCTTTTGTTGCCGAACCGTCTTTTCTTTCAGCTCTTTGCGCAGCAACGGAAATCTCACCAGTTTCGGGGTGAAAATTAAAGGATCTCTCTCTCTGTGTCTCCCTCTCCCTCCCTCGCACCCACCGCTCCTCTCCCCTCCCCTCCCCTCCCCCGCTCCGCGGAGCCGGAGCAGGCACAGCCAGGCGCGGGAGCGGGCTCCGAGCGCCTCGCCTCGGCTCGGCTCGCCGTCCCTTCCATGGGCGCCGCGCTCGGCTGCAGCCGCCGCCGCGGGGCGGGCGCGATGCCACGATGGACCTGATTTGGCTGCTGCTGCTCAGCCTGCTGGAGCCCGGCTGGCCGGCCGCGGGCCCCGGGGCGCGGCCGCGGCGGGATGCGGGCGGCCGCGGCGGCGTCTACGAGCACCTCGGCGGGGCGCCCAGGCGCCGCAAGCTCTACTGCGCCACCAAGTACCACCTCCAGCTGCACCCGAGCGGCCGCGTCAACGGCAGCCTGGAGAACAGCGCCTACAGTGAGTGTCCGGCACCCCCGGAAGGAGCGGTGCCCACGCGGGGGCTGACGAGGCAAGGGTGCCCGCCCGGGGACGCGGACCACCGCTGTGGCCAGAGGGAGACCGCCGAGGTCCCCTGGGCTCCCCCAACGTCTGGGAGCTGAAGAGAGGGGAGCGGGGGGGGGGGGTGGGGAACCGGTCACGTCCAAAGAGGCCCCGGCTGGTCGCTGCCCCACGCGCCCCGCCGCCCGCTCGTCCGAGGAGGTGTGAGGAAGGCCGTCCGGGGGCTCCCCGCTCGGTTGGGTTTGGTGGTCCTGACAAATCTGAGCCCTTCGAGTTTTTCGGAAAAAAGGCCCTGGACAAGGCATTTATCGTCCTCTTTATTATTTCGACCCCTTCTCCTCCTGCCGACCTCGGGGCGCTCCGCCATCCCGTCCGCCCTCCCGGCTCGCGGCCGCCCAGGTGGCCGCCCGGCGCGCAGCCTCTGCGCGGAAGAAGCTCGCCCGACAGAGCCGGGCTCCTGGGGCTCCCGGGAGGCGCCCGCAAGGATAGAGAATCCTGTCCCCAGACCGGAATCCCCAGCCCTCCCGCCTCTGCCCTCGGCCTCAGAGCGACCGGCGGGATGAGCTCCCTGGTCGCCGGGTGGGGGGCCACGGGATGCGGCTCAGGAGCACGCAGGGACGTCCGCCTGGTGCTGGGGGCGCGGGCACACTGTCACCCCGCCCCGCAGCCGGAACCCGCGCCCGGACTGCGCTCGAACCGGAGTCCCGCGAGGTCCCAAGGTTTGGCTCCTCCGGCCACGGGGACCCGGGCTCGTGCGGAGTCCTTTCTCGAGGAGGAGCGCAGGGCCGTGGGGACTCGACGCAGCTCCGCTCGGTGAGGAGCTGGAGACCCGAGCTCGGGGCCGGGCAGGAGCTCAGTGGGTGGGGTGTGTGGCCAGAGAATCGGGGTCCTCCGCTGCGCCCCGCGATCTGCTCCTCCTCCCCGACCCGGGCGCAGGAAAAGGCGCGGTGTGTTCCAGAGGCGGCCGGAAAACTCTGCTTCCTCCAGGAAAGCCGCGGTCCGGTGAAGCCGTCTTCGGAAGACGCCTCCGGAGCCGCGCGGTGGAAGCCAAATGTTACCAGGGCGTCCACTGCGCGCGGGACAGGACTGCGAAAGCCCCTGCGCCCGCCTGGTAGCGATTCTTCGGTTCTGTCCAAATCCAGTCTCCCCTCCCACTCCCGGGAGTCGCAGAGCATCCAAATTTTTGAGGCATCAAGGCGGGCAGCCCAGAGCCGCGCTGGTCCCACATCCAGACGCGGGTGCTTTGGCTGGCGCGACGGGGCGGGGCGGGGGGAATCCGCCCAGCCTGCGCCCCAGAGAGCCCAGAGGCCGGCATCCTGTGCCCCCCGGGCCCCCGCAAGCTCCGGGCAAGCCTCTGGCGGCCGGCGGCCTGGCCCTGTGAGCGCTGACATGTGCCGGGGGCCGGACGCTGGACCGGAGAGGCGCCCCCTGGAGAGGGCACCGGTTGTTACCCCAGGGGCACCGTGGCCCCACGTGGAGCTTTATTGCAGGCTCCCCAGTGGGAAGAAAAGTGCCCTCGGTCCTAACAGAAGGCGTTAGGGGAGATTGAAACTTTATTCCATTGGGTGGGGAGTGGGTGAACACAGGTGGCTTCCCTTTGTGAGCTCCCTGCCAACACCCTACAGGCTCGAGACAATTATCTCCCACCCACGTCCCCTGCCAGTGGGTTTGGGTGGCACCCTCAATTCACTGGTGGGTCGCGTTATCAGTTCTCCTTGCCAAGGTCCCAGCTCCCCCCCCAGGCCCCCCGGGGCACTCCAGTGGGCCCAGACACAGCCACGTTCAAGAGGTTTGAATCGCAGTTCAGACACCTGTGTGCCATCTTGGGCAAGTCCCTCTGGCCCGCAGTCTCAGCTGGCGCGTCTGGCCAGCCCATCATGAGACTAGCTCACAAGTGCTGGAGAGGCTCCAGGGGGCCCCCGTCCAGCGCGGGGAAGTACCGGTTCCCCCCCTCCCAGGTCTGCCTTCTTGCAGACGCCTCCCCTGGTGTTCCCTGTGCGTGTGGCACCTCCCACCCAGGGGTTTCTCCCTCTCCCAAACGTCCAAAGTCAAGTCACCCCCTTTCATTGCGGGTTGTCCTCAGCCCCCCCTCCCCTCCCCGAGCTGGAGCAGGGGAATGGGGTGTTCAGCCCTCCCTGCCGGGCTCTGTGGGAAGCAGAGGGGGTGACGGGCTGTCCGACTCCTCACAGGCATCCTGGAGATAACGGCAGTGGAGGTGGGCGTTGTGGCCATCAGGGGGCTCTTTTCCGGGCGGTACCTGGCCATGAACAAGAGGGGACGGCTCTACGCTTCGGTGAGTCCAGGGGCTCCTGTTGGGGGCGGGGCACAGACAGAGCAGCCGGCTCCCTTGGACATCACATCGGAGGGCAATACAGGGATATGGGCAGCGTAACGCTCTGTCCGGGGACATGCCGGGACCAGCACCCCAGGTCCCACGGCTCCCCGCCCGGCACTCTTTTGCCCGAGTCTGCTTAGAGGTGGCTGCCAGCTGACGGGGTAGACATATCTTAAGTTCTCCAGTGCTGTGGGGTGAGAGAACGCTTCCTCACGGATTCTGTGGTCACCTTCAAGGTAGCTGAGAGGAGAGGAGAGGTTGTGCCCCAAGTTTCTACCAAGATAAACGGACCCTAGTGAGCCTGGGGATGAAGCAAGGGTGTCCAGGAGGCAAAAGGTCTTCTGTGGGCTCACCCAGACAGAGCTCTCCTGGGAGTGGAGTGAGGAAGAGGGCGGAAAGGCAAGAGCTGGGAGTCAGTAGGAGGGAACCAAGAGGAAGGGAGACGGGGCCCATGTCCTAGGCACATAGGTTTGGAGCCCAGCCTTTGTACCATCTGGGTCTCTACAGAACAAGGGGTCTTGTGACTGTGGGCATTGGTGGTGTCCATCCCCCAGGGGTGGGTCATACATAGAGTAAAATACATGTACTAGGAAGTTTCCTAGCTCCAACTAGTCATTACATGCAATTCAGCTGATGCTCCCTGGGCAGTGAGAGGCTTCCCACCCACCATCCTTCACCTAGACGAAGCAGGCGAGGACTGTCTCCTCCATTTGGTTGCATTTGCAGGGGAAACACCAACATTTCCCCGCCTGTCTGAAGTCAGGCAAAGCACTGTCAAGAACTTCAGGGAAGTCCTCCTTTAAGCGGTTTTTTCCATCACAGATTTTTCACGGTTTGGCTAAAGGAAATGCAGAAGTAGGAAGATACCCATTTGCTTTCTGTGACCCAGGGGAGTCTGTGTCTGGGAAGAGGGACCCTTGGGTGCCCAGCCTCCTTTATACGTCCTTCTAGGACGTAAACACCAAGTGCGGTTTATGAACACATGCCCTCAGCCCAGGGTCTGGTCTGACTTTTTCTTGAGGTGGATGGTGGCTTTCCAGACCCCTCAAGCCCTCGCCCTCGGTGCGGAGTGAGCAAAACTGACTTTCTGTTCCTGAAATGGGCTTGGACCTCCCACAGGCACTCCCATCCCTGGTGGCGAGGGGAGGACTTGCTGGCCTGCCGAGCTTGTGCAGGTCTTACTGACCAGGGGCAGCCTTTGTTCACGCTGGGCAAGTTTACACAGGGAGGCAGGTAGGGCTGGAATCAGGAGAAGAAGCGTCTGGCCATTGCCATCTCTCCTGTGGGAGACCCAGGCCACGGCCCTGGGGGGCAGAATTACACGTGCCCCGTGGGCCAGAGTCTCCCTGTGACTTCCGTCTCTGAAAGCTGGCAGCTCTGGCTTCGGGGACGGAGGAGGAGAGGTTCCCGGTCCCACGTAGGTAGCCCAGCAGTCTAGCTGGGTGGGGTGGGACTTGGCAGAGCTCCTGGCGTGGGAGGTCTCACTACGTTGCAGATAAGCTGAAAGGTGAGGCAGCCCAGATGCCGCTCCTGTCACCCCTTGTCCCCGTCCTGGGCGCCCCCAGTTTGCCCGTGAGGGCTGCTCCGACTGCCCTGCCTCTTGACTATCTGAGTCCCTGGTCTTTGCCATCACCTTGCTTCTCACCCTCCAGACTAGTTCATCCACTCTTTGGGTCAGCGGCCCTTGCACCCTGACAGCCCCCAATTCCAGTCCTGTTCTCCCTTCAGAGTTATAGGTCCCCCCAAATGTCCTGATGGCTCAGAGACCACCCTGGCAGAGGGCACACTCCCAACTGAACCCAGCAGCTCCCCTGACTCCTCTGCCATAGCTGTTACCCCACCAGCCACTCACTCAAACCCAAGAGCAGCTGGGAGTAGTGGCAGACACCTGCTTCTTTCTCAGCCACACGTTCAGCCCATCTCCAAGTCCTCGAACACACTTCCTGAATCCCTCACTTCAGTTTCTGCCTCCCTCCGCCCAACCCCTGTGCCCTTATAACTCAGGACCTCGTCATCTCCCAGCTGGACCATCACAGCAATCTTGCGACCCAGCTACCGGCCTCCAGGTCTCCATCCTCCAGTCTACAGCCCCCTTCCCTCCCGTCTCCTTCCATTCATCTATCCGTCCATCCATCCATCCATGCACACATCCATCCACCAACACCCATCCATCCACCTCTCTTCCCTTCCACCCACCTGGCATTCATTCTTTCATCCCTCAGGGTCCTGGGCACTTACCATACGTCACAGTCTGTGCTAGGAGCCTGATCAGTGATCTCCCTAAACTGCAAACCCACTCACGTGCTGGCCTCCAGGAACGCCCCATCACCCCCAGATTATCCCCCAGACTCCTTAGCTCAGCTCACAGTGGAGAGCCCAGGCCGTCTTCTGCCTCCTCCTCGCACCGTCACTTCACGGCTCCCGTCCCCACTCAGACTCTGGACCCCTTGGCTTCTCCAGAACAAGCCCTGCTGCTCCCAGCCCCGACCCCATGCTTTCCCCGCCCCCCCACCCCCTCCTGCCCCCTCCTGCCCCACAGAACATGCCCTCCTGCCCCACGGGAACACTCCCTCCTGCCCCCTCCTGCCCCACGGAACATGCCCTCCTGCCCCCTTCTGCCCCCTCCTGCCCCATGGGGACACGCCCTCCCCACTGGGAGGGTGCCTGCCTCTCTGTCTGGTCCTCACGTCTGCCCAGCCCTGGCTGATTTTTCTGGAGCAGCGCCAGGAGCTGGCAAAGCTGAGAAGGAGAAGCAGCCTCCCTGAGGACGAGGGTGATGGCGAGGAGTAGAATCTGAGCAGCTGGAGCCCAGGGTGGGGGTGGCTCTGGGGAGGGCCCCTAGGGAGCAGGGTCTGGGGTGGGACCGTGGGGGCCGGACAGGCACTGCAGACTTCTGTCCTGGTGCATCTGTGATGCCTTTTTCTAGCTCGTCTCTGCCCCTTATCTGTAGCCTCCCCACATCCACGAGCCCCCTCAAGGTGCAAACAATGTTCCGCCCCCAAGAAGCCCTCCTGTAGGGCCTGAGCCCCTTGCTCTTGAGGTTCACAGCACTGTGTCCCTTCAATGGCCCCCCAAGTGTCCCAGCAAAGAGCAAACCCACCAGGCTTCCTGCAGGATGGGCCTTAGCCCGGGAGGAGGTACTTTCTCCAGGACAGAGGGGCCTGGGAGGAGGGCTGGTTTAGCTGCTGAGTTTTTCACAGACACTCACTGTGAGCAGGGCCGGGTGGAGTGTGCAGGTGTAAGATGCTGAAGCAGTGTGTCCGTCCAGGGGGTGGGGCAGGTTTGCCTGAGCCCACCCACCCACCCCAGAGGGCCCCACTGCACAGGCCACAGGAGCATCAGATCTCCGGACCTCAGGTTCCCCCTCTGTAAAATCCTGGGCAGTGGCGTCCGAATGTAGACCAGAAGAGCCCCAAGCATCCACCGAGGGGCTTCAGAGCAGAGGAGGGGCTGCGGGTACGGGGGGAGGCCCTCCCCATGACACTCTCCAGCCTTGCCTCTGGGCTCGCGAGTCACCAGAGAGAGAGAGATGGCTGGCGCTTCCCATCTTGCTTCCTGAGGTCCTCAGGAACCCTAAGCTGCCCGGTCCGTGAGTCTGGCCCCGAACAGTCTATGGCCCCCGGGAATGGGGCTGTGGCCCACTGGGCCGCCTGCATCCCCCCCTCTGCCGATGGAGAGGGGCCCTGAGGGTCTCTCGTCTCATCTCAGTCCTCGGAGAAAAGGCCAGTCCTCCTGGCCAGCTTCCCCTGCGCCCCCGCCCTGCCCCGTGGCACAGTGTGGGGAGGGAGAGGCTTGGCATGTCTGTCCACCTACAGCGGGGACGGGAGCCTAGGCTGGCCTAAGCCGTACCTGCCCCTTGCCCAGCCCCCCCCCCCTGGAGACACGCCACAGAAGCCCTCGGGGGACCCTGACAAAATCCCTTTTCATTCTGCGTTTGTCCGTCCAGACCCGGGGGCGGGACCCCCCGGCGGGACCCCCCGCCCCCCCCCCCAGGCCGCCCAGACCCGGGCCCAGGGCTCCCCTCCGCGCCTGCGCCCTCGGAGGGCTCTGTGCGCTGACGCTGGCCCCCGTCCGCCCCGCAGGAGAGCTACAACGCCGAGTGCGAGTTCGTGGAGCGCATCCACGAGCTGGGCTACAACACCTACGCCTCCCGGCTGTACCGCACGGCGCCCGGCGGGCGCGGGGCCCGGCGCCAGCCCAGCGCCGAGAGACTGTGGTACGTGTCGGTGAACGGCAAGGGCCGGCCCCGCCGCGGCTTCAAGACACGCCGCACGCAGAAGTCCTCGCTCTTCCTGCCGCGCGTGCTGGACCGCGAGGACCACGAGATGGTGCGGCTGCTCCTGGGCGCGGCCGGGCTGCGCGGCGGCCAGGCCAGGCCCCCCGCCCCGGGCAGGGCCGCTTCCACGCGGCAGCGGCGGCGGAGGCAGCAGAGGCGGCGGGACCCGGGAGGCCGAGCTTAGCCCCCGCCCCGGGGAGGGAGCGGAGGCCGTGAGCGTCCCCGCCGGCGGCTGGGCTCTGAGCTCAGGCCGTCAGGACCGGGTGCGGACCGACGACGGATGCGTGCAGGGCTCCACCCCTGACTTCCCTGCGCTAGCCCTTCCCACCTGGCAGCCGGCTGCTCTGCCCAGGCCAACGGAACACACCCCCAACCCTTCCTGCTTCTCTCAGACAACCCTCACGTCATCGCAGCAAGGAGCCCCGTCCTGGCTTGGAGGGGGCTGCTGAAAACAGGAGGCTTGTAGGTTTGCCTAGGCGGGGAGCGCCCTTGCCCACATCGGGAGGATCCGCTGGAGCAAGGGGTCCCGGCTGTTGGAGGCGCTGTGGGACGGTGGGGTGGAGCGTGTGGGATCAAAATGTTATTCTACGTTGTTATTTAATAGATGAGGATGCAGCTTGCGGACACACTTGAAAGTTTTACTTGAACGAATTTGCTTGTGATGATGGTGGAGTCTGTGCCAAATTGATGTCTTAAGATGTAAGATTGTATTCTGAGAAACTGGGCTAAAGATGCATTTCAATTCCCTGGTTCTGAAAGTTACTGTTTTTTTTTAAACCACTAGATGTTTTGTTTGGATGGGAAGGAGACTAATGCGTCTATGTGTGTGTGTGGGGGGGGGGGGGTGTTATGTGAGCTTCCCAGGTGGCCCAGCCGTAAAGAATCTGCCTGCAATGCAGTAGACGCAGGTTCGATCCTTGGGCCAGGAAGATCCTCTGGAGGAGGGCATGGCAACCCACTCCAGTGTTCTTGCCTGGAGAATCCCCTGGAGAGAAGAACCTGGAGGAACCTACAGTCCATCGGGTCACACAGAGTCGGACACGACTGAAAGGACTTAGCACACAGCACGTGTGGGTGTGTTCCTGTGTTTGTGCATGAGTGAATCTACGTATGTGTGTGGTTGTGTGTTCCTGGTTGTGCATAGGTGTGCACATGTGTGGTGAAAGAGAAAGAAAGAGATTGACTTTGTGTAGATATTCCCCAGACTCCCTCCATCTTGAAGCTGTGTGCTTCTCCGTGGACTGTTTTGAGCACCTGGGCTGCAGGCCACCTAGAGCCATTCCAGAGCTCCTTCCTTCCCCCAACCTGCCGCCAAGGCCTTGGGCGTTCCTGCGTTTGCTGAGAAATCGAGGGTCAGAGGTGACGTGGTTTGTTGCAGTCTTTCCTGGTGGCTCAGACGGTAAAGAAACTTCCTGCAAGGCAGGAGACCTGGGCTTGATCCCTGGGTTGGGAAGATCCCCTGGAGAAGGGCATGGCAACCCACTCCAGTATTCTTGCCTGGAGAATCCCCATGGACAGAGGAAGGAGCCTGGTGGACTACCATCCACGGGGTCTCAAAGAGTCGGACATGACTGAGCGACCCACACTTTACTTACAGCCTGTAGCTGGCAGACCTGCCGCCATCCCCACCCGCTGCCCATACCTGCTCCTCCAACAACAGCGACGGGCGGGGTCCCCTGGGGCAGGCCCAGGTGCGAGCCAGGGGCAGGGCAGCCCTCCCCCGCTTCAGCCGGGTGAGGGTGTGGCCTGAGCCCCAGAGGACCTCAGTGCTGTTTCTGCTGGCATCACTCACACGCACCAAACGTGCAAAGGAGCTGCCTCAGCGCCAACACTTGTGCGATGACGGAGGAGAGTCTCGGCCAAGAGCTGCTCGGTGTGAAGACAAGGACCTGGCTCCTGGCCACTGCCCCCCTCAGCAAGGCGGGCTTGCTTGTCTCCCCCTGACCGACTGCCCCTGCAGGAAGGAACATTCTCAGGGCATCAGTTCATGCTGGGCTATCCCCTTGAGTTTTGTCATTCATCTGGAGTGAGATGGAGCAGGTGTTACCTTCGCTCCCATTTTGCAGATGAGGAAACTGAGGCCCAGCGGGTGAACGGGCCCCCGCATGTCATGAGGCGGGTGCAGCCTCCTCTCCACCCCAGTGCTACGCCGTCAGCAGACAGGCCCTGAAGATGATGGGGGGAGACATTTGGGAGTCTTGGTTAATATTGAAAATGGGTTAGACAAGAGAACATGTGTTTTCTGTAATTGACGGGCTATGGAGGTATGGTACTTCTCCACGGGGCGCACACCCATCTGTTGAAGTCCTGCCCCGTGCCCACCCAGGGCCTCAGAAAGTGGCCAAATGTTGTTGCAGATGTGATCAAGTTAGGTGTGAGGCTGTCTGGAGCTGGACATTCTCTGCCCCAGGGTGACTGGGTCCTTGTAAGGAGGGGGGTGACGAGGGCAGACCGGGGCTCAAGGTTGATGCCGGGTGAGGGTGAGCGTGATGCTTCTGTTCAGCAGACATCACCGCACGGCACCAGGAGTTAGGGGAAAACCAGACCCCCCACGCACACAGCCCGCCCTGCCCACACCTTGGACGTCCAGCTCCCAGAACTGGGAGACCACACGTCTCTGTCATTATAGCCATCTGGTGTCTGGAACTTTGTCATAGTCGCCCGAGCAAGCTCGTGCAGGGGGCAAGGGGCCCGGCTGCGCTGCCCCTCAGGTGGTCCCCAAAGGGAGAGGGACCCTGTTTCTGTTGAATGAAGGGGGAAGCGCAGAAAGTCCACAGGCTGAAAGTGTGGGCTCCTGGGAGGATTCCGAGGACGTCACTCTGCAGAGTCCACCGAGCTGCCAACACCAGGCTCATCTAATGTGGGCCGTGGGGGCGCCTTGGGGTGCCAGGGAGGGGCCACAGGGGATTTCCAAAGTGGGGCCTGCACGAGCGTGCCCACCCGTTTCTGCTTTTGAACCACAGACACTGCTTCCAAACCAGCTTTTTGGTTTTTGAGCAATGCAAATGGATCCCAAAGGGAACAAGCATTTCATGTCAGTTTAAAAACACTTCAGTAAACACAGCCTGGCATGCTGTCGCAAAGAGTTGGACACGACTGAGCGACTGAACTAAGTAAGTAAGTAAATGAAATTAAAAGATGCTTGCTCCTTGGAAGAAAAGCTATGAGAAACCTAGACAGCATATTAAAAAGCAGAGATACCACTTTGTCGGCAAAGGTCCATTTGTCAAAGATATGGTTTTTCCAGTAGTCATGTAGGGATGTGAGAGTTGGACCATAAAGAAAGCTGAGTGCCGAAGAACTGATGCTCTTAAACTGTGGTGCTGGAGAAGATTTTCGAGACTCCCTTGGACTGCAAGGAGATCAAGCCAGTCAGTCCTAAAGGAAATCAACCTTGAATGTTCATTGGAAGGACTGATGCTAAAGCTGAAGCTGCTATACTTCGGCCATCTGATGCAAAGAATTAACTCATCGGAAAAGACCCTGATGCTGGGAAGGATTGAAGGCAGCAAGAGAAGGGGGCAACACAGGATGAGACGGTTGGATGGCATCATTGACTCAGTGAACATGAGTTTGAGCAAATTCTGGGAGATGGTGAAGGACAGGGGAGCCTGTCCAAGTCAAACTTGCTCTTCCATGGAGCAGAAACAAGGGAAGCCAGAGACTAGTGCCATAATCCATGGGGCTGCAAAGAGTCAGACAGGACTGAGCAAGTGAACAACAACGAAGTACTTGTAGTGGAATCTAGCCCTTTGCCCCCACGTCACTAAGAACCGCTGTGTCCCCGGGACTTTGGGAAAAGGGCCTTGGGCTCGGGAGCGGTCTGGGAGGTGGGGGGAGGGGCTCACCTGTGTGGCCAGTGCTGCAGCCACACCGACCTCTCCGGCAAGGATGCCGAGGTGTGCCCTGCACATGGCACCCCGCACCTGGAGGGGGACTGAGGGCCGGCCAGGTGTGGCCCCTGCAGAGGGAGGGTCTTTCAGGTGCCAGGGCTCCAGGGTCCAAGTCAGGTGCATGAGGAAGGGGGTTCTGCCTCTGCTCCCCTCGGCATCCCCTGACCTGGCCCCTGGGAGGCCGGAGGATCCTCCTGGGGTCCCTCGGGATCGAGGCCCACCCACCTCACAGCCACTGGCCTCCCTGGCCTCTCTCTGTCCGACTGGCCTGTTTGCAGGACACGGAAGCTGGCATGGGTCAGCCCTGAGTGATGCTCTGGCCTGGTACCCCAGGGGACACACCTGGGGACATCCCCGTCCACACCCCACCCGGGGCTTTATTCCTCCTTCCACCTCCTCACGCTCAGGAGGCCCCCAGCCGTCTGAACCCCCTTCAGGTCCTGTGTCGTTGCTGTCTTCCCTCTTTCGTGAGATGTCAAGTCCCCAGAGGGCCCTCCTGGGCGAGGGGCTGTGGGCTGCACGCAGGAAGACGTGGGAGCGGGCAGGAGCCCCTGAAGAGGACACGGGATGAGGGTGGGGCCCGGTGACCCTGGCAGCCCAGACCGCCCTGCTCTGACCTGGAGCGGCGGAGGCTGGAGACTAGGTCCCCCGAGAGTTCGCGCCACCTGAGCTGGGATGGGGAGTCCGGAGGCTCTAGGATCAGCCTCCCCTACCTGCCCAGCCCAGGAGGGCGGGGCAGGAGTTGGGGGGCGGGGGGAGAGGTTGGAGGGCATGGGGCAGGTCTGTGCCGTCCGAGGGACCTGGGGCTTTGAGGCAAATCACCTGCAGGAGCAGGAACCTGAATCGCGGTAGATGCTGTGGAAGACAGGACGCTGGTTCCTTGAAAAGGGAGGCACAGAGGGGACTAGCCCGCTGGTCCAGTGGCTAAGACTCTGAGCTCCCAATGCAAGGGGGCCTGGGTTCAACCCCTGATCAGGGAACTAGATACCAAATGCGGCAACTAAGACCCAGAGCAGCCAAAATAAATAAATACAAGTTAAAAATGAAAAACGTGAGGCACAGAATAGACACGTGGTCCAGTAGCCCCGTCTCTGGGTACAGGCTGAAAGGAGAGAGAGCAGGACTCTGATGGGTTTTCGCCACACCCCTCTGCCCAGCAAGGTTAAACACAGCCATCAAAAGGTAGAAGGAGCCCACGTGTCCTTCGATGGATGAATGAATAAGTGAAATGCCGCCCAACTGTACGCTGGAATATTACTCAGCCTTGAAGAAGGTGGACATTGACTCAGGC